AATATGAATATTGGTTCTAGTGGTTATGAGACTTTGTTCGTATTTATATTGATTCAGATTTCAGACTTCAGATGTAAAAACAAACAGTCTGACTGATTCAGATTTCAGACTTCAGCACCACCTCTTATAAATCAGAAGTGAAATCATAATTCAAACTTCAGCAACTCTTAAAAAACAAACACCACCTTACTAAAAATTAGGTCTTACTTTCAAAGTTTTAGCTAAAGTCTACTCCGAAATTAATAAGCAACAAAAAGTCCAAAATGTCCCTCTCAGAATTAGGCATAAAAGGTGATATAACATAAGCCAACCCTGGGGTTAATATAGGTGTTTTACTATGCCAAAGCTTTACCACCAATTACAACACTTTTGGGCAGTGTTTGCCTCAACATGGCATTGGCCATTGGGGCACTGTCTTCACCTTTATTAGGTTACCTTTTTTGGACTTATTTTCCTTTAATTGCATTTTACTGCATTTCCTTTTTTTTTTCTTTTCTAAATACTCCGGCTCTCTTCTTCAATTAAGTATCCACATTTTTATTTTAGTTTGTTTTAAAAATAAATGTCCAGTTTAAAAAATCAGTTATTTTGTGATGAGGTTCCTCCGAAATGACCATTTTAGTGATTAATCGATGAATAAATCTCTAAAATAAGTATTCAGACGCATAATTCAAACTAATATATATTATACTAGGATAATTTTAATTAGTTAGAATAATTAGTTGTGTTATTAACTTGTCATGCAAAGGTGACAATATTATCGACCAATCATGCTGAAGTGATGCACACATGATTAGTGACAGATTAAAGGGAGCTAGCGGATATCGGCTTCATCAGGCAGTTTTTTTAATTAACAAATATGATGGATTACAGAGTCGAACTTGACATTTGTCTAGCATTTATCGACCAATTGTGTTTGATTATAGTTTTAAAAGAAAAAGGCACATATCAATTAATGGAGTTGAACTTGGCATTTCTCGAGCTCGTCTATGATATTATTTTAAGCCAATAAGTTTTAGAAACTGATGAGTTTAATGAGAAATTTTTATCATGAAAATAAATTTTTATTTAAAACACATTGACACTTCAAAGAAATTTCTATCATTTATTTTTCTAATTTAACACGGTTTACACTTATTCTGTTCAAATACTTTCAGATAAAAAAACGACGTTATTGAGGGAAATTCTATACAGATGTTTATACAATTTTCGTGTGCAATATCTAAAACATGATCATTCAGCGATCTTTTATATGAAAATCGTAAGATTATTTTACTTGTCATACCACTACGAACTCAACAAGATAAGAACCTTCATAAAAACCCACTATTGAACCTCCTCCAACTTCTTTTTACGTAGGTTCGGTACACTTCTTTGTTATTAATTTTTTGTTTAAATGTTTATAAATCAATTACTTTAATTTAAATATTTTTTTTTCATTTATTTTAAGTAATAAAAACTAGAAAAATATATATTAAATTATGAATCAAATTTTTTTATATTGATTCTAATTTATATATTTAAAAGTATTTGGATATAGTAATTATTACATAACATTATTTTTTTTACCAAAACTAAAAAGATGCAACAATAAATAAACATACATTTTTGTATAAAAGCTACACTAAATACATCTTATTTATTTAGAATAACAATTAATTTTATATGAATAAAAACACTAAAAATTTAAACGTATTAAAAATAAAATATAAAAGAAATTGTAAAAAATTACGATATACAAAAACGGAAACAAAATAAATGAATATATTTTATAATTATTAATTAACCAACTTTATATTAACTTTATTCATATTTTTTGTAAATTATAATTTTAAAAATCTCTATTAAATTGTTTGTCACTAATCCATAATTTGTATCATGGGTATTTTTGTTAGCCTAACTTTCCCTTCCCTGATATTATAATAGTTGGGGTTGTTTATTTATCTCTTAATAGTTCTATTAAGAGGCAACCTTTGAATCGTTAAGAGATGACTCTTGTTTGACAAAAAAAATTTTGTCTCTTAATGGTTCTAAAACCCTCTGAATGATTTTGTATCTTAGAACTCCCTTAACCCTGAGAGCCCTTATTTCATTGTACACAATTACCAAACAATTATATTTCATTTTGCACTATATCATGAGAGCCTCTTAATTATTCTGACCACTTAATCATTCGGCATCAAACCATTCAACAATTGTCAAACAACCTCTTATATTTATATGAATAGTCATCATATAATTATGGTTTTTAATTGTTATAATATATATATATATATATATATATTTTGACAAATTAACTAATAAACTAAATATATTTGGTAAAATGTAAAATGATCAAACAAGACATATTGAAAAATTAATCAATTACAACATTTTATAATATAAGTAAAACAAACACTAATAATATAATATTTAATTAATACAAATAAAATAGCAAAGAAAATTAAATAATATAATATGTTAACTAATTTTTTAAAGTTTGATTACCATTAAATTGGTCAACCTCTCACATATTCAAATTAATTAATAACTTTTCAAAAAATATAATTAATAATTAAATTAAATATTTTATCGAAATCATCATCGTAGTTTTATTATATAAGAAACAAAATAAATATACTTTGATTTTTATTTAACTTGTATAAACATTTATAAACTGTTATATTTACTTTGGCTTATTCGGAACCTTTTAGAGTTAAGACCTCATTGTAGAAGATTTTTCATATCGAATGTGGGTAATGGGCTGTCAACGCATGCTTGGGAAGATACCTGGAGTGAACATGGTCCCCTAATCCATATACTCTCGTATAGATTCATAAATGGCCATGAGTTTCATAATAACTCTACGATTTATGACCTCATACATCGGTTTGGTCATACGTGGCCGGATGAATGGATTCAACGTTTTCCCCAGTTGCAGCAAATTGTGATTCCTTCCCCCAGTCTTTCTGAGGATACGATTAGGTGGCTTGAGCCTAATAATAATAGGCAGTTTTTTACGGTGAAGGTGGCATGACAAACTTTGCAAGAAGTGGGACCGATTGTGCATTGGCATAAGGTGGTTTGGAATAAAGCTTACATACCTAAACATGCCCTCTGCATGTGGATGGCATGTCAGAAAAGATTACCGACCCAAGACCGCATTTGCCAGGGGAAACATGAACCCCCTGATCTGAAATGTGTTTTTTGCAACTTAGTGATAGAAACGCACAATCACTTATTCTTTGAGTGCGACTACTCGAGTAGTATTTGGGAAGTAATAAAGAGGGAAATAGGAATCCAACTGTGTCTGAACAATTGGGAGGATATCCTTAACATGGGGTTATTGCAGGGGTGGAAATTATGGTCTAGGGTTCAAAAGCTTGGTATCTCGGCTACGGTGTACCACATATGGATGGAAAGGAATAGAAAGTTCTTTGACAATCATTACCGAATTGGAGCTCAAGTAGTGGCTGGTATCAAGACTCAGATTCTTCATAGAATGGCTTGGAAGACAAGGAAAAAGCTTACGAGAATCAATGATCCGTGATCGGAAGGTTGGTGAAGAGTTTCGTTTCTGGGAGTTCTTGGTGATTTGCTCCATCTATTTTTTGACTTGTTATACCTTTCATTTTTGGTGCATTTCCCTTTGTTTATTTTGGCTTCTTATGGCTTGGTTTATAAGTCAAAGTTGCCGTAGTTTTTCTTGCTGATTTATAACCTTCTTTGTTTACTTTTACTTTTACTTGTTTTATAATTGCCTGGGGAGTTCTCCCCTTTCAGTACTTTTTGATAACTAATATATTGAATTAAAATTAGAAAACAATATAAAAATTCGATATGGTAAATAATAAATTTAAATAGTTAATAATTAATATTGATGTATAATTAAAATAAATAATAAAGTTAATATTTATTAATAATTAATATAAGAAAATTAACAATTAATATTAATTAGAGTTGTAATTGGAAAAAAAGCTTCAAAAAACTTCTAAAATACTACTCCAAATAACGTTCCAATAAGTTAGTTTATAAATAACTTTTATTTATTTATATTTATCAATTTGTATCAAACATTACACAAACATTTTAATTATAGAGGTATTTTGGAAAATTTCTATTCACAGTGTCTTTATGCTTTCTCTTTCAATATTATTTTCTAGTTTTAAATGTATTATCAAAATCCAAAACACTATATCAGTATATATTAGCACCATTTGTCATATATAAATACTATTAAATATATATCAAACAAAAGAATATTGCATCCCTGGTTTGTATCACATATAGGCTAATGAACATGCGACAAAAGTTTTGTCAAATTAAATATGAGTTCTCATAACATAATATAAATTAAACTCGTTGATGGAATTATAAAGTCATTTCTTAAAAACGATCATAAAAATATCAATGTATCTTTAACATAAAATATTCTACATCAACAATTATTACGATCTTTTTATCAAAAGATCGTTGTCTATCGTACCTGTATTACCAGTAAAATTAGTTTAAATGTATATAAGATCAGAAGTATGTATCGGTATATATGAAACCATCTTTGATAGAAGTATATGCATATAAACAGGGGCAGATCTATCCCTTAAAGACCGGAGGGAAATGCCCCAAGTTAAAGACCAAAAACGTTTGTTGATTAACTTAAATTTTCTATTTTTATCCTCGTATTACATGGTTTCCCATTAGTCCCATATGACCATATGCTTGCCTTCCCCAAGTCTCATCCAATATGCTCCCACTCCATTAATTTTCTGGATCCATCACTGCATATAAGTACTTATAATATAAGTCCGAAGATGAAACAATAAAAAAAAAATTGAGCATGAAAGTTAGAAGAAGGGTAGGGATGCTCTCTTATCCATTGATTAAAAGACATGTTGAGTTGGTCAATCAAGCCCCCTGCCAACATTTGATTCATTCACTTGCTGAATTTTATCACTTTGTTCAAACGAATTATAGCCCAGACCCAGACACAGCTAAAGCCTAAAGATCCAAAAATCAAAATTCTATTATAGGAAAATGTATTTAAAAGAAAAGGAAAAAGAAAATCACCCAAGTTACTGTATTTAATCTCTTCATAGCAGGGAGTAGTTGAAAACAAAACCCTAAAAGGGTTCTTTGTAAGAACCAATTCGCCGCCGGATCGATCTCTTTCACTCTCAGCTCTCAGTTTTCTTCATACATGTTAACTCAAACAGACACCATCGGTCTTCATTCTCCCCTTATTTCCTGTTTTTTTGGCAACCCTTTTCTTTAAAGTTGCTGTTTTTGCAATCCAATGTGAAAACCAGTTAAAACATGTTGCCAAAAATTGTTCCTTTTTGTTTTTTATTTGTCTTTGTTGTTTGATCATCGAGAAATTTGTTCTTCAGGTTATGAAGCCCGTGAGCTTGTATCTATTGATCGAAGTTTCGATCTTTATGGGTTTTACGAGCTGATTCTTAGCCTTTAGGTGTTTAAGTTATATTGAAGTTTGTTGATTTTAGTTTTCTTTTTAGGGTTTTTAGGGTTTGTGGTGCGTGAGTGATCAAAGATTGAATTTTATTGCTTAAGCCGACAAATTTCCGTGCGTATACCTCTGGGTTTTAATTATGCCGATGATTTTGGTTTTCTGGGTATAATTTTCTATCTTTTTTTATAGTGTTATTTGTGGTGAACGCATAATTTCATCCGTGAAGATGTTATCTGAATTGGGTAGGAGACCAATGGTAAGTGGTGGCGGTGAGGGTTCTTTTGGGGATGAATTGGAGAAGGAGATAGGATTGTTGCTTCGCGAACAGAGGCGTGAAGCAGATGATCGTGAGAAGGAGCTAAACATGTATAGGAGTGGCTCAGCTCCACCTACTGTAGAGGGTTCATTGAGTGCAGTTGGTGGTTTATATAATAATTATAATGGGCAAAACAACGGTTTGGCTTTCTCTGAGTTTGCCGGTGGCAACGGTTTCATGTCTGAGGAGGAACTTAGGGCTGACCCTGCTTACTTGTCTTACTATTATTCAAATGTGAATCTAAACCCTAGGTTGCCACCACCACTGTTGTCGAAAGAGGATTGGCGGTTTACCCAAAGGTTGCAGGGCAGTGGAGGGTCTGGCCTGGGAGGTATTGGAGATAGGAGGAAACCAAACAGGACTGATGGTGGTGGTGGTGGTGGTGGTGGTGGCAGTGGTGGTGTGTCGCTTTTTTCTATGCCGCCTGGTTTCAACTCAAAGAAACAGGAGAGTGAGAATTTTGAGGTGGAGAAAGCAAAAGTTTCAGCTGAGTGGGGTGGTGATGGATTGATCGGTTTGCCTGGTTTAGGTTTAGGTAGTAAACAGAAGAGCCTTGCTGAGATTTTCCAGGTGATTTTTTCTGCATATTTCGTTTCATTTCTTTTATGTATATCACATAACATGATCTTTGATTTTGTGTACTCGTGATATTGAACTTGTACAATGTGTAGAACTGTTGATTAATGTTGTCGGATGAGGATTATGTTAGTTGTTTGAGTTTTATGATGATGATTGTCGATGCAATTCGTTTAGGGTTTAGCCAATTCAAACTTTATAAGTTGAGATTGTTGAAGTAATTGTGAAAGAAGGTAATTGTTTGGTCTGATTGGTTCATCTTTTTGCTAGAAGAAGCTACACGTCTATGCTTGTTGAGCAATTAACTCACCATAAGTTAGTGGAAACTAATTAAGTCACTTCGTGTTTAGGCTGGAAAGCAGGTGTAATAGGCATAAGGTTGTTGGAACACCAGATAGAGGCCAAAAGAGTTATATCTGCAACATAGCAGCTGAAATCCCGAAACTTGTTTCACTCGTTACTGCAGATGCCAAGCAATTGTTTTTAATGAATTAACTACATCATAATATCGTTTGGTCTCTTTCTTGAATCATTTTTGCTGTTATCTAGAAATCTTTGTGTACATTCTAACAAAAACTGCATGGATAAATTCCTATCTTGCTTTCTCTTTTGAGATTGTTGTTTGGATGATACAAGATTGCATTCGGCATAAAGAAAGGAGGAAACGGAAGGCTGAATGGAATAGCTTGAACTAATGGCCATTATGCATTATATTTGGGAGTTCATACCAAAATTGTTGCATTATTATTAAAATTTACCATCTTTTTAAGTGTTTCTGTTCATTATCTTGAAATTTATATGAATGTTAGATATTTTTAAATTCTTGCAGTTATTATAGTGCTGGGTGATTATTGATCCTAAGATGTAGTAATGGAAATATCCCAACTTGGTATGCATGTTATGATGTCAAATGTGGTGAACTGAAAGTGTAGCATTTTTGCAGGATGATTTGAGTCGTTCAACTCCACCTTCTGGACACCCTTCTCGACCAGCAAGCCGTACTGCTTTTGAAAACAACGATGAAACCTTAGGTCCTGCTGATGCTGAGCTGGCACAGCTGCAGCATAACGTAAAGGGTCCACCAACATCATATTCTTATGCTGCAGCTTTAGGTGCTTCTTTATCAAGAAGCACGACCCCTGACCCACAACACATTGCTAGGGTCCCTAGTCCCATTCCTACTCCTATCGGAGGTGGGCGGCTTAACCCTTCAGAGAGGAGAAATCCCAACAGTCCGAGCCTATTTAATGGAGCCTCTTCTCACCCAAAAGATCCAACTGATTTGGTGACTGCGTTGTCTGGCATGAATTTGTCAAATGAGGCCATCGAAGAGTCGAATTTATCTCAGTTTGACAAAAATGCGGATGATCAGAATGCTTTTCTTCTGAATATGCCACGGAATCAGAAAAACAATAAGAATAACTTGCACTTTGATGGATCTTCTAGTAACTTTCAATCTCACTATCAGCAGATTGATGGTGGTGGAAGTTCATATTTGAACAATGGTTCAAGTGGGTACTCCATCAATTCACCACAAATGATGTCCGGTCAACATGGCAACTTGAATCTGCCGCCACTTTTTGAAAATGCTGCAGCGGCTTCTGCCATGGCGTACCCTGGAATGGAATCAAGGTTCACTTTGGAATCACAAAACATGAGGAGGTTGGGGAACCAAATGGCCGGAAATGCACTCCAAGCATCTTTTATGGACCCCATGTATCTCCAGTACTTAAGGTCAACTGAATATGCAGCGGCTGCCGCCCAAGTTGCTGCCCTCAACGATCCGACAATTGACCGGAACAACTATTTGGGAAATTCATACACTGACTTGCTTCAAAAAGCATATCTTGGAACTTTATTGTCACCACAAAAGTCACAATACGGTGGCGTGCAATATGTAGGTGCATCTGCTAGTCCTCACCACCATGGTTATTATGGGAACCCTGCATTTGGAGTGGGCTTGTCGTATCCTGGTAGCCCATTAGCAAGCCCGCTTCCCAACTCTCCTGGGGGACCAGGCAGCCCAATCAGGCTCGGTGAACTCAACACACGATTCTCTCCTCAAATGAGAAATTTAGGTGGCGGCAGTGGTGTGATGGGACATTGGCATCTGGATGGCGGAGATAATAGTTTTGCATCCTCTTTGCTAGAAGAGTTTAAGAGTAATAAAACTAAGTGCTTTGAGCTTTCTGAAATCACTGGTCACGTTGTTGAGTTCAGGCACGTGGATATAAAAATGACATTTTTCGTATCTTTTTTCCATGAAATTTTGCATCTCTGATTAAAATTCATTTATGGTTATCAGTGCGGACCAGTATGGTAGCCGTTTCATTCAACAGAAACTCGAAACTGCGACTGCTGAGGACAAAAACATGGTTTTCCAGGAGATCTTTCCTCAGGCTCTTACTTTGATGACTGATGTCTTCGGAAACTATGTGATTCAGAAGGTGTTGTGAAATACTTATCTTTTATTACGACTACAAGAATTAAATTCTGTACTCTTTGGAAACTTTGAAGTGTTTTTTGATAGACTGTTCCTATTCCAGTTCTTTGAGCATGGAATGCCTGCCCAGAGAAGAGAATTGGCTGGAAAGCTACTGGGCCATGTTTTGACACTTAGCCTTCAAATGTATGGTTGCCGAGTTATCCAGAAGGTAATAATATGAGCCTTATGATTCTTCCCTTCGTCATTTTGAGTCCATAACAAGGTATATTCTGATCCATTGCAGTTTTTCTTTATCTTTAGCATGAGCATTGTACTCATTCCTTTCATTTTGGGGTCCGTTAACAATTGTTGTAGTGTCTGATTTCTGTTTGGCAACATGGTTAAAATGTGCCCGGCAAGGTTTTATTTTCAGAATTCTATAAAAAAGAAATTATTTTTATTGGTTCAGAAATAACAGGTTGAAGTCAAATAGTTGATATGTGTTTTACACTTTTGATTGTTTAGGCAATTGAAGTTGTTGACATGGACCAAAAGATCAAGATGGTGGAAGAGCTGGACGGTCATATCATGCGATGTGTTCGTGATCAAAATGGGAACCACGTTATTCAGAAGTGTATTGAATGTGTCCCCGAAGAGCATATTCAGTTTATCATCACAACTTTCTTTGATCAAGTTGTGACCCTTTCTACCCACCCATATGGCTGTCGTGTTATACAGGTTGGTAATTTTGCTTGCCTTATATCTTGCATCTTTGCTACTCCCCTGTCCAAGATTAATACGACATATTGATTTTTGACACAATTTCAATCCAAAATCACCTTTGTGTCAATCAGTAAACATTACAAGATATTGAGTGGTATTTTGGATATTGATTTAGTTTTGGTATTTTTTTGTGTTGCAGAGGGTGCTCGAGCATTGCGAGGATCCAGAAACACAAAGCAAGGTGATGGATGAAATCCTTGCCTGTGTAAGCATGCTAGCACAAGATCAGTATGGAAATTATGTTGTTCAGGTTTGGACTCTGTTTCACTATCTTATTTGCTTATATCTTGACGTTTCTTTGTTGGGCTGATGCTTATTTTTGGTCGGTTTTTTTGAGCAGCATGTGTTGGAACATGGAAAGCCAAATGAACGTTCTATAATAATTCAAGAGTTGGCCGGGAAGATTGTTCAGATGAGTCAACAGAAGTTTGCATCCAATGTGGTTGAAAAATGTTTGACTTTTGGCGATGCTAGTGAACGCCAACTCCTTGTGAATGAGATGCTTGGTACTACTGATGAAAACGAGCCTCTTCAGGTTTCTCCCCTCTCTCCACAAAATTAAGCAAAACCAAATCACAAAGAAGGAATGCTTTTTTTTATTCTTGTGAATGAGATGCTTGGTACTACTGACATTTCTTTGTGATTCTATTTGTGAATTTGAGTTTGTTGATTCTTGCTAACATAGAAAAAGGACGCCGTGGATGCCACAAGAAGGAATGCTTTTTTTGATATCTTACGTTTATGATTTATGCATAATATTTGGTTGTCTTTTTATTCAGGCAATGATGAAAGATCAGTTTGCAAATTACGTTGTGCAAAAAGTACTCGAGACTTGTAGTGATCAAGAACGTGAGCACATATTGTCGCGGATTAAGGTTCATTTGAATGCACTTAAGAAATACACTTACGGAAAACATATTGTCGCTCGTGTAGAGAAACTTGTTGCTGCTGGGGGTATGCATTCACTTCTTCCCTTTCTCTGCATGTTTATAGTTCTGTGCCTAGTGTTCATTGTTAAACAAAGTACTTCTTGATTCAAAATTGGTGCACACTTTCACGTTCTTAAAACAACACCCTTTCTTCTTTAGCTGTACCAATTACTTCCTCTACCCATTGAAGTTGCAGACTTTTCGTTTTTGGACAATGGATCCAAAATAGGTATCTTGTCACAGGAACACTTGCTTGAATTGAAAATATTGTGATTTTTGTTAGACGTTTCAAAATGGCATTTGAATCTTTGAGATTATGACGGGTGGTTTTTCATACAATCTGCATTTGATGGTTGCAGAAAGGAGAATTGCTGCGCAATCGGTACATGCTGCATAGGAGGAGCCATAGGAAACGAAGTTGTACAGCTAACAAAGGCTAGTTTGAGCTACCCTTTTTCCTGTCTCTCTGTCTGTCGTTGTCTAGTGGCTGGTTAGGGGCCAATTTGCAAATAAAGTTTGCTTGTACTTGAGAACTGTACATTCTGTAGCTTTTTAAGGTTTATACATAGTTGTTATAAGAATCTGAGAAAGCTTGGGGGACGATGACTCCTGATGCTGGTGCAGAGGCAGTATAATGATATGATGATGATGAGAAGGGTGTAAAGATGATGGAAGAAAGGAAAAGGTGAGGTAGTTTTGTGACTGTACAAAAATGTTGCCCATATCGCAGAGTGTTTGATGTTTCTAGGCAGAGTTGCGCTATCGGTTGGTTTCACGTATTATGGCATGCTATTTAAACAGTTTTCTTATAACGTCCCCAATGCGTTTCTTGCTGCATTCTTGATTCATTATGTTGGTTTTCGATGTTTCGGTTTATAGGATTCTGGTCTTCTATTCTAAACCCAGATTCTTGTTTTAGTTTCTTGGAAATGGGGGTATCTGATGTCTGTGGGTGAGTTAGGTTGAAGAGAGTCATGCTGTCAGCATTAGGGTGTGTTTGGTATACAGACACGACACGAGTCGTACACATCTCCATGGTCATCCACTCATCCTGAATTTAAAACCTAGGCGTGATTCAACATCATCAATCTGTTTCACCGTCAAAAAACATCTATGGCATAATTTTAATATTTAGATCAACGTCATTTGCAGTTAGAATGTTGACTATTCAGAGTAATACTTGTGTGAATCAATATAAATCAGTTGAGTTTCCATCTCAACTCATGTTAATGTTTTTCATCACCGTTTGTTAGAAAACTGAATTTTTTGGAACATCAATCTTAGAGTCAGAAGCCTATGTTGGTTAGAGCTTGGGATCTTACTCTTGTTTTAGAGATTGGAGAGTACTTAAACTCATGCACTCAATATTAAGTAACAAGGAGTCAACAATGTATGAAAAATAAGGGTAGTTTTGAAATCCTAAATATAGATATAGGTTGGATTATCTCATATGGTCGTAATTTTTTTTTTCAAAAAGTTGAGTTTCATAATGACAAAAATTCTTCATGCCGATGGAATAATCAAAAGAGTGAGTGAGACATGAATGATAAAAAATGTATCAAGGTCTTTTAGGCAAGTAATTTTAGACTTTGAGTACTTAATAAAAAAACTTGCAAACAATAAGCAATACTATAAAATGAATGATCAATTAATTATTTAAGTATTTTCTTTTTCAAGATAATTAATTAATACATGTTTGGATTCTTATGAAATTCTTTTTAGGTCCTATTAGATGCTAACAGAATTTGTATTTTTTCTATTTACTAATTTTTTTGAACTAGTGTCATACTAAATTTTTTAAAAGACTGTGTTTTAATAAAAAGTAATTTAAAAGTATATTTTTGTAATAAAAATAAAAAAATGATATTTGAAGCATTTTAAAAAGAAAACAACAGAAAAAAGGTTTTAAAATAGGAAAATAAAAGTCTAAGTCATGTGATACTCTAATAGCAATTATTTGACATAAAAACCGTTAGCTAGATAATTGAAGAGAATAATCTATATATTATGTCTCAAATCCAAACATTTCTGGAGCATCATCATCAGGTTCTAATATATATATATATATATATATATATATATATATATATATATAGCTTGGTTCAAATACTAAC